TCACCCTCATCTTCACCCACACTCACCCTCATCTTCACCCACACTCATCCTCATCTTCATCCACACCCACACTCACCCTTACCCACACCCATACTCTCACCATCATCTTCACCCATACCCACACCCTCATCTTCACCCATACCCACACCCCACCCTCTCACCCTGTCACCCTCAACCACACCCCACCCTCTCACCCTGTCACCCTCACCCACACCCATACTCTCACCGTCATCTTCACCCATACCCACACCCTCATCTTCACCCATACCCACACCCTCATCTTCACCCATACCCACATCCCACCCTCTCACCCTCACCCACACCTTCAAGATTTATTACATCAGCTTTCTTTCTTTGTTATAAATGAAAATTAAATCGTAAATTAACTCGTTATAATAAACAAATATATGATTCACATTACTTATCGACTAATTTTTTGTTTTATAGCGAAAGGACATTTTGATAATGGAGGACATTTTTTTGTAGGACCATATGACAAAAGACTATTTCTAAAGGACCTTTTCTGAGAGGACTTTTTTTGAGAGGACATTTCCTAAAGGACCAAAACTGGGGGACATTTCGTCGAGGACATTTTCTAAAGGATATTCTTGACGGATACCGAAATTCATAGCGAAAATATTGTAATATTCGTCTATATATATATATATATATAAGTGTTTGGGAAAAATAGCTGAAAAAGAAGAAACTTTGTTTTCCGTTGTAATACGTTTTTGTTACTATCAAAAACAATTATAAAAGAATTTTTCTAGAAATTAATGACCAATAGCTACACGCTAAAAATAATAGATACTTCACTAAACTCTACGAAAATGTCCTCCGATAAGTACAGTATGAAAATAACAGATTTTTACATCTACGAAACTTTTAAAGATTCTTCGCTTGGGTACATGCGACTTTAAAGATTTTGCGTTTTCCTATAAAACTTTCTTTTGCTCTAAAAAACATTAAAAATGTTTTCACATCCAAAGATTTCTCACGTATATCCCTGGCTCTATTCACTTACATTACATATTTATTATTTTTAAAAGTAAAGTAAATGTGCCACTCCCTTCTCGTCATACTTGTATTTCATTCTATTCTTTCCCTGTTGCAGAGAAGGCATTTTTGAACATGCATCTGATCGGAACATAAATCTTGGAACAGCAATCGATGCTGTATTGGCTGAACATATCCTTGGATTAGATATGCAATTGGGCCAACCCTGTCAAACTACTCAATTTTCAAACATCGATCAAAGCTTTACAAATATTAATAATAATGGAAATAACTTTCCATCGTATGATGAACTGCTGAATCTGGTATCATCGAATGCCAATCTCTTTGAATCAGCTCACATACAAACTGATACAAATGTCAACATATTAGAAGATGAATCAGCAAGGCAATCGGTACGTTAGTTCTCTTTTATCCGTATAAAAACAAAATACAGTCATGTAGCTTATATACGGCAAAAAAGGCAGTGAAATGACAACATAAACTTGGTTTTTGCTATCGTCTTAAATCTGCAAAATATAATGCATGATTTTTTTGTGAAAAGAAAAGATCTTATATGCCATATTGACTAGTTTATGCGGACTGAAAGTTTTTTGACAATCGTCCTTTAGATATCGCTAACTAATTTACAGTTGAATATTCGGATATTTCTACCGAAACTATTTATAATTTACAATTGAAATTCGATAATTTGATGAGATTTTACAAGTCTTTTTTAATTTCATAGTTTCATAATTAACCTATGAGAGTGTGATGTGTGAATATGAATTCTTATTTGTGATGAAGGATAATGCTTAATATAAGCATAGCTTCTCGTATCGACACCGATCTCAATCTTCATACAAATTACGTCTTTTGTACCTCATCTAAATAAGTTTTTATTTAATAGCTATCTTTTTCTAACAGTGTTAAGATCTAGACGATCTATCCATCACAACTGGTCGTGAATTGTCGCATATTACGCTTACATCTCGAGAGATTCTCGTATGTGTGTACTTAACTTTAGTAGGCTGAAGATGTTGCACATCTATCGGACACCGGAAACGTTTTAAGAAAGAAGTGTGCAAACATAATAACTTTCATATAAAACTTTTTAAAAAATATCTAAAAACTAATTTTTTTGAATAACTTTCTCTTATCACTCACCGCACTGGTACGAAAAGCCTAAGAATAATATGCACTCACCAGGCGTTTATGATTGTTAGATCAGCTTATGAGGGTGATCTACCTTTTCATAAATTCTTCTACTATTTTTCTTCTTCATAAATTCTTTTTAGATAGATAAACAAAAGCACGCCTTAGACACAGAGTTTATCATTATACATAATGAATGCGTTACTTAAGGTTTATTTCGTTTATCTATGCAAAAAGAGTTTATAAAGAAAGAAAACAGTACATAGATTTATGAATTTATAATAGGACACCAATTCGTACTCAGTTTCAAGAGAAAAACTGATTTGTGAGAGGATAGATTACCTTCGTAAACACTTAGTAAGAGTTTATCATTCAGCGTTTTCTTTTATCAGCGTATATTGATGGGTAGTATACTTTTTGAGTCAAACTAAAGTCAAAATTCATTTAGAGTGATTCGTCGATGACTACATCGAACACACATGCAACAATTGCGAATGAACAAAGTAATCATGAGAAGGAAACAACATCTCATCAAACAAGCGATGATCGTAGGACACTCTTTGTGTCGAGTTTAAGAAGTAATATAACTCTCGGCGACATACGTCGATATTTTACTGGTTCTACAAGAGTGATCATAAAGCGACATCGTACAACACCACAATTTAAGTAAGTTTTATACACAGTATATACTACACTACTATATAATAGCTTTTTTCTTAGATATGCTTTTGTGTTTCATCGAACGTCTGAAGAAGCAGAACGCAATCTTCGACGTTCTGAAGATGATTGTTTTCTTGGTCCGCAGTCATGTGTCGAGTATGCCCGCAGTCGTTCAAGTTTTTCAAACAATCAACAAAACTTCGGCAAAAACAAAGTTGAAGTCAGCAAAATACCAGAAAATGTTAGCGAAACTGATTTGCGTCATCTATTTGATGATTGCAATGTACTGAAATATTATCCAGCACGTATTGTTCACCAAGCAGCCGAGACAACACAAACGAAGCGTTCCAGTAGAATATCATCTGGGTAGGTGCAATAAAACTGTTTAGTAGTATTAGCACATTTAGAACTGCGCCTAATTTCATCATAAAAAATGATATATATCTAATTTAATGAGCGACGTCGCTCATAATATTATTGTACTTATACTGACTGATTTGTCATTGAAGAGGACTGATTGGCAAAAAAAGGAGTTTTAGTCATAAATCGGTTTATAGAGCTTTTTGTGTATAGATAGATCAATGGATGAGTATAAGTGTTGTATTCATAAAACATTTTTGCTCTTATCTACATTTTAATAGAAACTTACTAACTGATCATTACTGTTTGACTGTCTGTTGATATGCAGATGAACTCAGTGATCATTAGTCGTGAACATTGATCATTGAAATTTGAGAATAATCACTGAACTTCGATATAAACCTTTTATTAAAAAACAAATATGATACATCAATATTTGTCTTTGCAATGAACTTCATGCATTATCAACTAGATAAGTCAGATCAAACTGAAGGATGTGAGCATTTATCTAAATCTCTCTCAGACCATCATTGTTTTTATCGATATCCTTAAAATACGTTTTTCTAAAATTTATTTGTTCTTAAATTCTCTCGATCGATATATATTTTGTAGCATAAATAACCTTATAGAGTAGACAGTTACGCATTCGCGTTAAATTGATTTTCGATCAACTCATTATTAAGAGAATATGAATTTTTCTATTGACTTTTCTAGGTATGCACTAATTTCGTTTGATGACGAACGAAAAGCAGCCAATATTGTCAAGCATGCTGAACAATACAAGATCAATAATCAATCACTAGCTATTTCTTTTTACCACAAACAAAAATAATTATATATAAGACCAAAAGAACTATGTCTTGCGTAGTCCGTTATATTTTTTTTATAAATTTCTAATAAAAAGTTGATTTATAACACTTAGTTTTATTTTCATCTGAAGTGAAAATCAAAGTATGTGTAAATTTTTCCCACACATATGATTTCGTGTACAAATAGATATTCATCTAGACTGAAAAACGAATGTGCGAGTTTTTATAAAGAGAATTTAGTCCACATTTTCTGGTAATAATGATGTTTTTACAAGACAATCTGGATAATATTCGTGTTCATATGTATCAAATACCCACAGACGGTTATACTCTCAATGGAAAACGATTGATTCCTGTATATATCTCTTAGAATTCTAGTTGTCAACACTGAAATGAGTGAACTTATTTAAGAAAATATTTCTTTCTGACTTTGTGTTTTTCCAAAATATTTTGTAGGTCTCATTCATTACGGATTATTTTCGAAATTCTTCAGCAAAAGTAAACAACTAGTTCAAACTGAAATAGTCGTTTATATAGTGCTTAAACTTCTCTATTGAATACAATAAAAGCCAGAATTAAAGAAGAAAGCTTTTTTGTAAAAAGCTATACAACAGACGCTTCTCTGCGACGTCTACCGTAAAAAAAATTTGTAAGAAACTCGCTGCGTCTCGACTAAGATCATGCTTTTTCGACAATTACTGCGCTGATACCTTTGCAACGCAACATAAAATGTAGCTGAGCAACCTATAATCATGTTTTGAAATCATCTACTCTTTTAAACGGTCGATTTTTATCGACTTTTTCACAAACTTTTCTGGGATATCTTCTACATAGTCAGACGTCGTAATCTGTGCATTGTACGATCTTACATTGCCATCATCTATTATTACTTTTATGACTAGGACTACCAGTCAAAATCTAGAATTATTTAGTAATTTCTACTCTTGTATACTAATACATATTCTAATGTATAAATTGTCGTACTTGTATGTCATGATGATAATAGAAAACTCAATGTGAAATGCGTTTTCATTTCATAAAAAGTGGATCAATAGACAGCAGTAACACGAACCTCCCTATTTCATACAAGAGTTAAGTCATTTGCTAGAACAGTAAACGTACACTCTGCTGTTGAACTGATTTGAGTTTTAAAGCTTACGTGCCAATAAATGAGATGAGAGAGAGTACAAAAATGTAGATAAATTATTCAAAGAGTGGAAGGGAAAGTCTTATACATTTGAATATGCTATACCTCACATATTCGAATTTTAACAGCTCAATACTTGTAGCGAGTCTGTGGACTCTACACTACTTTTTACCCTAATGGAATTTATGTTGTGATTAGTCTAGAATGGAAGTTCAGTAAACTAAGTAGAGAAACAGACTAAAATCAATATTATCTCTCACTTATGTTGAATATGGTCATAAAAATTTCACGTTAAACATCTTACCAAAATGTTTCCCGGCATCAAGAATTTGTTATCAATAATTCTAATCGATCATGAATCTAATTTGAACTTTGCATCAGCGCCATGAGGAATTCTTCTTCATTTAGACGAACTTGATTTGATGTCATACGAGATGTTTCTTGAAATTATACTGCAATATATGGCTGAATTAATGTCGAGAGTTCTTTTGTTTTTGAGCATTTGTACTCTCTGATGCTGTCCATACAGATACTGGTTGATAATCATTGCACATAATGTAGTTTTGAGTTATATTATAGCTAAACATTTCTTCACAATTATTCCAATATATACTTTTTGTACGAGAAAGTTTAACGAAGGACAAAAGTTTATTTTTGTTTTCACACATTTTCCAGTTGGAGTTTACCAGAAAAATGTTGACTGAAGTCAAGCATCGGTAAAGTTGGAGTTGCACAGAGGTGCTCTATGAACAAATTCCAATCAGGCAACTGAAAATGATAACCAGCGTTTCATCATTTGCTGGACATTGCCCCAGGTTCAAGTGGATACACTGAATCCTGTCGGACCACTTTTAAATATGTTACAATACAGATAATCGAATTCGTCGAGTTCTGATCAGATCTGATTCAGAGTAATCTGATGTCAAGAAATGGCCGGAATTTGTGATTTCGCATGACGCTGGATTCTAAGGTAAAACTGTTTAATAACTGGTACAGGAACTTGCCGAATTATATAGAAATACAGACGTTCGGCCACTTCACATTTGCGAACATATATAAAATGAAGTTTGAATTAAATTAAAAAAATTCAGATTTTCGACTGTCTTTCAGTTTATTAAATGAATAATAAGTGTTATAAGAGATCATAAAAATATCTTCAAAACTAATGATCTAAAATTTAAGTTGTATTATAAAATATTTTTCTTTAAAAGTGGTTCAAGCAGAATGTAGAAAACGTGAGATATTGACTACAATTACTTTTTTAATAATTTGAAGTTCGCAATTTATAGAGAGCGTGAGGTCTTGAGTACAATCTGCGAATACCAACAAAAACTAAAGAAGTATCTAAAGTCTAATATAGAGTTCAATATATTACATATACTGAAACTGGATGAAATGATTTTTTGTTGTTGACGGCGTCATAATGCTATGGCGCGAGCAAGGATTGCGAGGAATGGAGAAAAAAAAAGTCAAAAACGTATATTATTAACAGTGAGAATGACGTTTCAACATTGTAACGAAAAATAAGATTGAATAAAGTTTATATAAAACTTTCTTATATAACGTTACTAGTATAATATTATTTATTTAAGTTAAATAGTATACACATACAAAATCAAACATACGTACAGGTAAAAGTATTAAGCCTAATCACGATGTTAATTCACTTGGTTGTTCGGAGAAAAGTGTCTGTTTATCTACTCTTTTGATCGTCCTTTTATATCCTCCATTCCCCTCATTCTTTCTCATTTTCTTATATACGATAGAAGGTCTAACGTAAGTCTATTGTTTTTAAAAACAAGGATTAATATTTCTATAGCTTTACCTTCTCATTTTATAAGATAGAAGGTAGACGTCTATTAACCATAGACACAAGAATAGACATATTTCTTTTTCTTATATGAGATAGAAAGCTGAGATCTATTTCTATTATGTCTACACGAAAAACCAGGGCTTATCTAAAAATGAGGTAACGTGGATATGTGAATATGAAAGAGAGATATAGTGTGGTAACATAGATATGTAAATATGAAGGGATATGGTCTATTATAATTCGTACGATCATTTAATAGATATTTCTTGTTAAAAGAATTCTTATCAGATCTAGTATTTTGAACGACATATTTAAGATTTTTGTCAGATTTCATAAAAATTTAGCTGAAAGCGCGAATAATAAATAATTTCTTATTGTAATTTAATGAACTCTATAAATTGCAGTAAAACAGAATAGAATTGAATAGATCTACATAGAGCAAGCTCTATACATCGCAGTTAGTTTAAACGAAAATGAAAAAATAGAACTTCGTTTTAAATCTTGAATTTAATTAAAACAAACTGAATTTTTTTTATATCTTCATGTTCACAAACGAGAAGCTACGCAAGCGTCCCATTTATTTGGGTTTCTCGTGTTGAATAGTATAGATCAGACAGAAATCAGTTAGTGATACATATAGGAAATGATCAGAAAACTGTATGAACTTTAGCGTAATGGTTTGCGTTATCTAGAAGAAATAATATACCATAGTTGGATTGTGAACTAGTTTTGCTGCGTTTTATTGAAGAAAATCGAACTGAATGAATGAAATATAATAATTGTGTCGAGGAGGATAGCAATTACCAAGTGTAAGTAAGTACAAATAGCTGACGTATATCAAGATAATAATTCCTTCAATATTAAATGACTTAAGTGAGGCAAAAATAGTACCGTTTAAAATTAATGAAACTTTTGTGTAATGCTGAAAGGGGGAAACTGATTTCTTGATTTCATAATCTCTAATAATTTTTGATGATTTCATTAATTTCAAATTGTTTTATGTTGGTAGAGATCACTTTATTCTCCATTGGTAATAGCACTGTCGTCGCATGAAACAAAAGTTAAAAAAATATTGAATTATCATTAATTATAAGAAATTGATCTTAGTTGAATATTCTTAATAATTAGCTAGAATAGTTCAAAAGCTATTATGGTCAAAATAAAATCTATCGTTAATCTTAAGAAACCAGAATAAAAGCAGATCCAAATGATGCCTTTTCAACTGATTAAAAATCGACTTT